ACATAAAGGTAAGGTTATAATTTTGATTTTTTTGGTTGTGATGTATGCATTTTTTTTCATAAATATTCCATGCTAAAATCTGGGTGTGTCCAATGCATGGGTGCATCCAATAGACCAATAGTAATTTCCTTTGGTAACTGGTGGCACTATATACAGGCAACTATTTTCTGGAGAGGTTAAAATCCATGCCAAAAATTCAGGGTTTATGCTATACATGAAGCCGTTTCTTTTTAATCATTTTCCAGAAAATTAAAATATTTTTGTCAGCAAAAAGGACAGCCCAACATGCAAATTACAAATTGGGGATACCAAAATCAAACAAGTACAACAATTAAACCTTCTATTTAAAAAAAAAATACCATTAGTATAATTTGTACTCGTATTGTAAGTGTTTTTTCGTGGCTAGTGGGAACGTTACATAAAGGTAAGGTTATAGTGATTTTCCAAGCGTAGCTTAGATGTGGCACAAAGCAAAAAATACGTGCACCCAATGAGGATCGAACTCACTATTAAGTTGTAATTGTTCTAGCGAGACAAGGTTGCTAACCATTACACGGCCTCGAGGTGCTACTTATGATTTCTAATCCTATCTTAGATGTGGCACAAGGCCGAATGAAAGTGGCACCCAGCGAGGATCGAACTCACTATTCAGTCGTAATTGTTCTAGTCATCAAAGCATTTTGCAACGCCCCAAAAAACGTAATAATCCTCTGGTTCAAGGCTAGCTTAATATGGGGGAACAGGTATAACAGATCAAATGGACCATTACATTACGCCGAAGTACCGAAAAGGTTAGGTTATAAATTTGATTATTTTGGCTGCGATGAGTGCTTTTTGTTTCCTAAATATTCCATGCCAAAATCTGGGAGCGTTCCAATAGGCCGGCAAATACAGTAATTTCCATTTTGGGGAACCAATCTTAATGACGAATGTATCATCTTCACTAGCAGTTCCTTAAATATATCATAACAGGCGATAAACAATGAGTTACATATAACAATGGCCGGCGCAATAGTTGTCGACTGGTGCACTTTCATTCGGCCTTGTGCCACATCTAAGATAGGATTAGAAATCATAAGTGGCACCTCGAGGCAAGTCCACAGACCACTCGACAAAACCATCCAAAATACAGAGTTCCATGTAAGAAAGATAATGTGCTTGTTTTGTTATCGTTGGTGTATTATTCATTTAGAGTTCTTTAAACGCAATGAAACAGTGAATGCACATTTATATTTCCAACAAATGCAACGTGTCTATAATTCAAAAATACGCTCTTAAGTAGGCGCCCGAGGGAGTCGTCAGTGATGTTATTTGACTTGGTTCATTAGGAAGTTTCGGGTCTTTCAACATCATACTCCTCATCACCAAGTCGACCTAATCAGGGGAGATCAATCTCTGGTACCCCCATTTTTGTAAAACGCTAACAGCTACTCTGGCCTTTTAATGAATTCGACGAAGAAAGACCACGTTTTCCGCACACCCGATTGGATGTTTGTAACAACCAATCCGCTGTGCGAACTATCTTTTAAATGGTCCACGGTGAGGACTGGCTTTTTTGCTTTTTTTTCGATGGATAGCAGTTTCAATGGATAACCGAGGAGGTAATCTTAATGTTCCTAAATTTAACCCCTTTTTCCTAAGTATTGTATAGTGTCTTACTCTATTTGCCGTTTTTATTTTATTTGTACTCTTTTTTAACATTTTTTTTGGAGGGGGAAAACTTAAATTCAACCCTACTATCGCATTTTATCGTTTAGCCTGATTCTTAACATTATTACAGGTTAACTTTAAATGGATGTATTCGCAAAATGGACATAATTGTCCATAAACATGCTGTATATTTTGACTGTACACACAAAAAAATAAAAATAAAAATAAAAAAATAAATAAATAAAGCACTATAATATTCCTTAAAATTGATTTAAACTATTTACAAATTTGAAGTCGGTTAAATACAATAAACTACGAAATACTATTGAAATTAAATTATACTACGAAAGAAGTACATTGAGTTCTACCTGGATTGTATCCTCTCGGAATTTTTTTATTCAAAAAAATATATATGTATGTCTATGCATGTATGTATATATATTTATATATTTTGCATATGTATGTGTATATTTACCACTAATATTATCTATCTATCTATCTATCTATCTATCTATCTATCTATCTATCTATCTATCTCTGTCTCTGTCTCTCTCTCTATCTATCTATCTATATATATTATTTACATTATTCGGACCATTGTCCTCATCTTTGTTGACATATTTATCACAATGTTTCGGCCGTTCTACGCTCCGGCCTTCTTCAGGTGTCTGATACGTCGAATTCGACGGGAGAGTCGTATATATATATACGACTCTCCCGTCGAATTCGACGTATCAAGCAGAATCAGTCCCTAGGAAACCGACAACAGCACATGAGATTTGATTATAATGGTGAAGGCTTCGTGCAGGACCATCCACACTTTTTGAAAGGCTGAATACAGAGACCTGCCACAAGGTCTCCAAACGACCCTCCACAGGTTTTGAATTCAGAGTTGTCCTTCTCCTAGACCAGTTGCCATCCAATGCTATAGAACCCAGTCTGTCCTGCTAGTTACCCATAGCTGGAGGGAGAAGAAGAGGATTCATACCTTTCCCAAGGGTATTAGCACGTAAGTGAATGTAATGAATTCGACTGGGATTCGAACTCGGCTCTCCGATTCCTCAATCCAAGCCACTATGCCTCCTCTCTCTCTCTATATATATATCGTGATGATCGAGACAAAAAAACTCTATAAATTCACTGTGTACGATTGGTCGAAAAGCGCTCCGCACTCCTCAATAGAAAAAAAATGTTCTTCTCCCAGATAAGAATAAGACTGAAAAAAATTAGAACATGTTTGATCTGTTATACCTGATCCCCCATATTCAGCTAGCCTTGAACCAGGGGATTATTACGTTTTTTGGACGTTGCAAGCTGCTTTGATAGCGAAAAGTTTCTCTAATAAAAAACCGGACTCAAGAGTTCGTCGAAAACTTGTTCACGTCACAACGTGCAAAATTTTACTCAAAATATGTCAAACAGTTGCCTGATAAGTGGCAACAATTCATTACAAATAATGTTGAATATATAATTAAATAAAATTAATTGTACTTCTTTTTTTTAAGAATAATGTTGTCAAACAAAAAACGAAAATTGTTTATAACTCATCTTAATACTGAGTGGTCCGAAAGTCTTGTCATCCCTATGTAAAATTTTTTTTATTATTTCAGATGGCTGACACGAGCTCCTACAATTTGGAAGAGAGGGTTAGGGTGACAACACTTTCAGACCACCCTATACAGTCAAACGAGTGAAAGCAAAAGTGTACGACGGTTGTATTTTTCTGCTTCAGCTACCATATTCGCTTGACCTTGTGCCAACCGATTAATAACGTCCTAGGTAAGACATCCGCGTCCTGGGTAAGACGATAAACTACACCCAGTAGCAAGGCCTCTGATCAGGAGGTTTTGAGGAGCGTGGAACCACCTCTTAATTGCTGGTGTTCCCAGGTCCACCCTGACCCGAGGTGGTAGCACCTGTTAGGGCCCTAGCCATGGGCAAATACTTAACTATTACCAGCAATACTTTTTTGAAACAAATTATTACCAGCAATATAATTTTGAAGGAAAAATATTACCAGAAACAGATTTTTGACAAAACAAAATATTACCAGCAATAAAAAATGTTGTCGGCATTAAATAACCCATTGAGGTTGATATGCCGTAAAACAAAATAACCCAAACGAAACCAACCGATTAATACCTTTTTTCGATCACTGCAAAACGCTTTGATGGCGAAAAGTTTCTCTAATGAAACCTGGATTGAAGAGTTTGTCGAAAACTTGTTCAAGTCACAACGTGTGAAATTTTATTCAAAAGTTATCGAAGTGCTGTCCGATAAGTGGCAACAGATCATTTCAAATAATGGTGAACATATAACTGAATCAAATGTAATTTTACTTTGTTTTTGAAAGAATCAAGTTGATAAATAAAAACGGAAATTAATTATGACTCAATCTAATCTAATCCTCGTAGGTTTTCGTTGGATTTCTGGTTCTGTATTTTTCTGATTATTCGTTTAGATAATTTACATGGAAGACCAACTCATCAAAGTCATAATTGTTTTTTCTATTTCTTATATGGCCAAGATCTGCTGAGTCTCCACATTTCAGTCTCCATAGAGTCTAAAGGTGTTTCCGCATCCTTATGGGTGATGAATTATTTTCTACCTTACAACCACTTTCCCATAGACGAAACATCGCAAGCCTCTCGCTGCTCTATTGCCATTTCCATGGAAAGTGTTCAAACGATCTACATTCCTTAATCCCATCAATTTCAACCTTCACGACTAAGACCCGCCATGCCACACCCATTGTAAGCGAATCACCCTAATTATCTTCGTATTTCATTGGTGAGATGTAAGTTTTACTCAAGCAGCTTCTTCCCACAAACTGCTGATCAATGGAGCTGATTGAAAATAATAGTGAATATATAATTGAATACAATGTAATTGTACTTTGTTATTTTTTTAAAATAATAATATTAATAAACAAAAATGGAAATTGTTTATAACTCAAACTAATAAATTATTATTAACGGCTTGCAAGATCAGCGCATAAACTATTGTTTCCTTTTTTTCATTTTCATCATTCACACTCGAACTATTGACCTCATCTTGTTTCTATTATCACAACGTTTCGGCCATTGTGCCGTCCGGTATTCATCAGGTACTTGCCAATTTGGGTAGCCCTCAGGGAATATCAAAATGAATCCTGTATTGCAAGAGTCTGCACGTAAATGATGCTAAGTTATCATTCATTACTTAATAATGAATGATAACTTCTCATCCAAGAAACTTACGCATTTCTTTTTTTATTTCTTTGTTTGTGAAGGTTCGATTTTTCAATAACGTTACACCATTTTTCATCGTCTGAGCACTTTTTAATAAAGGTTTTATTGAATATTTGCCTCACGGCCATATCACGTTGAAACACCGGTTTACGTACGATCACAGAAGTTAAGCAATGTCGAGTCCGCTCAGTACCTTGATGGGTGAGCGCTTAGGAAAAAATAAACGTAAAAGAACCGTTGTTTCAACGTTGATATGGTCGTAAGCTCAGGGAATAGTAATTTTTTAAATCATTCCACCCCAAGCAATGCAATAAAGCTACTAAGACGCAAGAGGTTACTGAGTGCTAGAGAATATGTGAGTAAATATTAAGGAGAAGTGGCTGATCGTGGTTTAAATTAGTGGGGGTGTTGCTAATCAGAAAATTTTAACCACAGTTTTTGTAAAACGAAACAAATACATAAAACAATTATAAATAAACTTAATAAAATCCTAAACTTATAAACAATTACAGTTTAAGCTTGATTCATTTATTTAAAAATGAAATCCAATACTTACATTATTCGGACTGTTATCCTCATCTTCATTGCTATATTCACAACGTTTCAGCCGTTTTACGCTCCAGCCTTCTTCACGTGATTCGATCTTTGAGATGATGTATTATGATTACTTGCATTACTTACATTATTCGAACTGTTATCCTCGTCTTCATTGCTATATTCACAACGTTTCGGTCGATTACGAATGTGATAAAAATCCTGTTGACAATTCCCATGGCTACAACAGAGCGAGAACCTTGTTTTTTAACACCGAAAAGAACAACAACTTCTCTAAGGAACACTATGAATCCTGAATGACTAAATGCACTTGTATTGCTTTCAATGGACAACAATTTCCTTAGCAATCATCTAAGAGAAAATTATAAATCTTTTCACTCAAAGTTAATTAAAGAAGAATGGATTTCATCATATTTGTCTGTATCTCTGAGATGGGGTATTATGGTTACTTACATTATTTACATTATTCATACAGTTATTCTCGTGTTCATTGCCATATGCACAACGTTTCGGTCGTTGTACGCTTCGGCCTTCTTCAGGTGATTGGAATTTCGAACCGAACCTGTTATTTCGTCCACCGGGGGGTGGGTAGATTGTTCTAGTTCCACGTGCCAGGCCTCTTCCGAGTGTCTCAGTTATTTCCCTTTAACTCAACACTCCAAGTATTGAACTCACAACTCTTTGGGTCTAGTCAACGCATGTCACCAACGTCTTCATCCGCTGGGCCATGTGTCCTTGAGGGTTATCTGTGTGTGAATTTCTGGGACACATAGACCAAATGCCTCAGCAATCATTTATTACCAGTGCTCATATTGCATTTTTTCTGTTATTATTATTTTTTTTTTACCAGAGTTTATATTGCAATTTCTGAGACATTAGATTTATAAGTCCCAAAAATTCATACACAGATAACCCTCAAGGACACATCACCCAGCGGATGAAGACGTTGGTTAGTTCCAGTGACTAGACCCAATACCAGGTCGTAGCAGTGGAGAACCAAACTTGGAGAGTTGAGCTAAAGGGAAATGACTGAGACATCCGGAAGAGGCCTGACACGTGGAATTAGAACAATCTACCCCGATGGACGAAATAAAGGGTCCGGTTTGAAATTCCAATTACCTGAAGAAGGCCGGAGCGTACAACGGCCGAAACGTTGTGCATACGGCAATGAACATGACGATAACAGTACGAATAATGTAAATAATGTAAGTAATCATAATACCTCATCTCAGAGATACAGACAAATATGATGAAATCCATTCTTTTTGAGTTACTTGCAGTGAAAAGTTCTATAATAAAATTGAAAGTACTGCAAGTGCATTTAATCTTTCAGGATTCATTGTGTTCCTCAGAGAAGTTGGTATTCTTTTCAGTGTTAAAAAAACAGCATTCTGGCTCTGTTGCAGTCATGGGAATTGTCAACAGGATTTTTATCAGTTTCGTAATTTCACTAAGAACATCATTTAGATTATTTTCCAAGATAAATTTCTTCCCAATCAATTAATTTGCAATATTCATGCATATCGGAGCGACAATAGAATATTTTTATTTTTATTTTTAAGATTTTCTTTGTCAGTCATGGGATATGCTTCAGTGGTCAGTACTATTTCTTCTGTGGGCAGTTTATTCTTAAAACTAGTGCAGCTACTAAGCGTTTAGTGGAAAAATATCTGTCCATTATATCGACAAATATGCAGTCACAAACTTCCTTTGCTTCTGTCATGAGTGCCTTTGAAGGTTTCCTGTTTCTAAAATAGCAGATTTGAAATCTGCTATATGTTCAATGACTTTAAAAATACTAATTACTTGAGGTTGCATTTGGTCGTAAATTACTTCAACATTAGGCATAATCTGATGAAAAGGCTCTAACCAAAACATGAAGTTATCATCATTCAGGTATTGTAAAATTCCTATTCCTTCTAAAATGGTTTGATCTGCATTTGATGTTGACTGAATTGTGACACTATTTAGGGTTGCGTGAAAAAAAAAGAAAAAAAAGGCGAGAATTAAAATTAGGTGATAAGTATCTATCACGAAAAAGCGATGTTATTTTTTTCTAACAAGGAAAAGTGATAAAGATTTTTATTTTCATTAGCGAAGAAAGTAAGGTCGTGAATCTGTCGCGTTTGATTTATGACGGCGCACCGAGTATGGCAATGGTGAAAATTTCAGGTCGGTCAGCTAGCCTATAGAGCAGAATTCTAAGAGATAAAAATTAATTGGGTCGCAGGAAAAATGTCCGCTAGACCTCCCGCAGAGTACCAGGAAGGAAAGATTAAGCCTTTGACTATCTGCAGAATACCATTGAGAGGAGCATCTGTTTTGTGTCGGAGCTGGCTATGATAAAAAGAAAAAAAAATTATTTCATCGGGACGAATAATTGGCTGTGGATATCGCCAGACGACCACCCACTTGTTTGGCGAAGGTCTCGATTGATAAAGTACAGGTGACATTCGGTTAAGATAAGAGTCTAAGGATTTGTTGTCGAGAAGAAGAAAAAGAAAGAAAATAAAAAGAAAAAGGAAGATAATTTTTTCTTTTCTTTGAGCAAGATTTTTTAAACCGAGGCCAGTTTGGCCACACCCACACTGCTGGACGTCCATTGGTTGAATGGTGGCGTGAGCGGTAGGCGAAGGTAATCATGTGAAGAAGGAGGGGAGGCCTGTTGACGCCCCCCCCTGAAGGGATCGGTGTGAGATGCCACTGTGAGAGAGAGGGGAAACCCGTTGACACCCTCTGAAGGGATTGGGTGAGATACCCATATGAAAAAGGAAAAATCTGGAAGGACTTCCAAAAATGGAAAATAAAAAAAATTCCTGACCGAAAGCAAAGAATTATCAAGGAACCTCAAACCCCGACAAGCCCACCCCGGTTTTGGTCGGCGTCCATATAAGCAGAGTCGCAACGAGTTACGGCAGTTGAGTTAAGCAGTTCGCAGCTGAGCGGTTGGGGTTAGACAGACAAGCAAGCAGTTGCAGTGAGCTGAGAGCTCGCAGACGCCTCGCAGGAAGTTGACTGAGATTCGCGCATTCTCGACCTCAAATTCTAACCAAGAACAATTTATTTTTGAAGAACGACTTAGACTCACACGACCAAAACAAGTTTTACGAATATCGCCTGAAGATACACCAAGAACCAGTTTCTTAGAGAACAACAAACTTAAGATGTTAAGACTCGCCTAACAAACGCAAAGTGTCACGAATCCATATGAGCGGGTTGGAAGGAAGACGCTGTCCTGTATTCAGCAACCAGATATAAAATATTGTTATCCTTTTTTAACACATTTGAACTTTTCGAGTTATTACTTTATTTTCTTTTACATATACTTGTGCGGTATTGCCCTTGATCGGGCTCGACTTGCATTATGGCCCGGCGACTGATTGATTTCGTCTACCTAAGATCAAATCACAACGTGGGTAGGTTAGACTAGAAATCAAAACAGTTACTTCGGTAACCAGACGTTGGAGGCGAGCTGGGAACGACAAGGCTGATACCAAATCTAACCAGATTCCCATCCGAATCAGCAAAGGGTTAGAACGTCACGTTTGGTGCCGCGACCAATACCAAGTCACATTGGTCGTCACAGGACAGGATAGAACGGCGATGGCACGGAGACAGATGGGGTGACGTCACAGTAAGGCAGCTTTTTAAAGGTTGCAAATTTTCATGAACTCTGTTCACGGTCCGTATGTTAAAGTGTAGGAATATATTTCTTATAAATAAATAGAAATAAAATATAAAATAATAATAATGAAAATTATAAATAAAATAAAATGAAACAGTAACATTTAAACGTTGTATAAAATAAATTAATAATAATAATAATAATAATAATGAAAACTGTTCCTGTTGGAAATATGGACATCCTGCCAAAAGAAGTCTCTTCAAAACGAATTCTCAGACAGGCAACAGTTATGCGCCATGCGTGATACACGCTTAGGCGATCATGTATCTTTCGATACATGACTGACGAGGCAGATTCTTTTCCACAGTAGGTTGCTATTTATTTCTACGGTAGACCAGTTGCCATCCAAGGCTATAGAACCCAGTCTGTCCTGCTATTTACTCATAGCTAGGGGGTGGGTAGAGAAGAAGAGGATTTATACCTTTCCCAAGGGCATTAGCACGAAAGTGAATGTAATGGATCTGAATGGAATTCGAACTCGGCTCTCCGATTCCTCAATACGACCTGCTATCCATTACTCCACTATGCCTCAAAACGTGTCCAAATTCTCTGTGGCGTGGCGTGTAATAATACGAAGTGACTTCTTCCTTTTATCACATGTGCTATGAAATAATTGTAACCTAAAAATACACACGCCAATCCACACAAAAATATAAATAAATTATATAAAATTAACATAAATTTACCATGCTTTACCGTTATTTCTGTACGTTTTATTTCCTGTCAAGTATATTTTTATTTCCGTGAACGCGAGGCTAATTTCTGCTGCTATGATTTAAATAACCACCCACAAAAGTTCCACCTTGTAGAGGATGGACGTGGAATGCTGACGTGTATAAGCTTCTTGAGAATGGATACACTTTGTGGTGATCTTAAGAAGAATGCTGAAATAGCCAAAATGTTAAAGAAAAATATTCTTGCGTTCTGCACTTCTCCTTATTAAATTAAGCTGATGTGTATAATAGTGAATGACATA